GATAGACGCACGCACTGAAAATGTATTTCCAATCATTTTACTCATTATCCGGGCAAAAGTTTTTTCCGAGTAAGTCCGTGTCCGTGCCCGTGCCCGTGTCCGTATATCTACTTGAACATTTTCATGTCCTTCGCTCATTTGCAGCAGCTTGGATATGTGCTTGGAGCTGGGACTAGAGTGGGACTAGAGTGGGACTAGGCGCGGTGGGCACAACACGGGAACACACATAAGACTCTGGAGTGTGTGGGGGGGGGGGGGGCATGGAGGGGAAGGGGATACGGTTTAGTTTGGCTCGGTTCGGTTCGGTTCGGTTCAGTTTGTAAGCGTGTTGGCGTTAATGGTTCTTGATGAAATGAAATGAAATAATGGGTGCGTTTATTCACGTAATGTATTTGTATTTGTTACAGCAACAGCAACAGCAACCACTACATACATAGCATACATAGCATACATAGCATACATATTTACAATAATAACACAGCTCGTAAAATGAATAACTGTAGGGAATGATTGAATGCCGGATGGAATGAAAGCGGCGCCCAGGCGACGCCGACAAAGGCAAAGACAGAGGGCAAAGGCAACGGCTAACAAAACGCTTTTCGTTAGTTTTCATTATTTTCCGCATTTAAGCGTATTTATTCCGTTGTTAATCGAATTTATTAAATGCAAACACGCCAACAAATGGGGAGAGAGAGGGGACTACACACACACACACATTCGTGCAGGACTGGCACGCACCTTCCCTTTCCTTCAACCCCCGACCGTGCAGCGTCAGGATGGGTGCGTTTTGTTTGGCTTGAGAAATAATGTTTCTCCGCATGCCCAGCCGGCTGCTAATTTTACGTATTTCACGCAGCTCCCCCACCAGCACCCCCCAGCTGGGTCAGAACAGCTCTGGGAACGGTACGTCATTAAATGTCTCTATTGCCACACGAAACTTAAATCACCTGCGAACTGCTTTGAGGGTGGAGCGTGGAGATTTGTAACCCTTTTGGGCGGGGCGCGGGTGCAGCAGCAGATTTTAATTGGGAACAGGGTTGCAGCTAAAACATATATGGGATTGATATTGCTCCATAGATAAACTCAGGGATTACCCAAAGACTCTCAAGTCTCGTCTCTCCAGTCACGTGCCATGGGATCTCTGCTGCCATTTTTCTCGCTCATTTCTCTGCCCAAAAGTAAATCAATTTATTTGCCGTTTATCAATGCAAGTCATGACAAATGCAGTCAAAAAGATTAAATCAGTCTGCCTCGAATGTTTTCCAAATAAATAATATTTTTCGAATAAATCAACAGTGGAAAAGAAATGCGGCGGCGCTCAAGGCAACAAAAATGCATTGCCATTGCCGGCCACATATGTATGTATGTATGGCAGAGGGACGGGACGAGTGCTCTCCGTGTGTGTGTGTGTGCACTTCTTGTGTCTTGTGTGTCCCGACCAGATGGCAAATAAAACGGAAAGAAACTTTGCGCATTAGCCTCAACGCCAAATGCCCAGCGACAGCGCCAGTCGGTCCAGCCAAGTTGGGTCCCGTCTCCCGTCTTCCGTCTTCGTCTCCTGCTTCCGCTGTCCCTCAAAACTTTTGCATTTGCTTTTGGCCAAGAAATGAGCAACTGGCCTCATATGTCAATGATTTCTTTTTCACCCGCTTTTATACGTTTCTTGGGCTGCTTTTTGTTTGCTTTCTTTGGCCGCCCACGCCTGGCGGCGCCAACTGCAGTGGCCGCCCGCGCGTGTTCGCACCTAACGGCGCTGCAGCTGGCGCAAGTCCCTGCCAGAAATCCTTTGCCTACATCCCCATGAATATCAGTGTCTATCATTTCGAATCTTGGCAAGGCAAGCAGCACTTTTTCTCTGTTTTATGTAGCTGCAAAAAAGGTATAAAGAAAATCCCATATCACTTCACTGATCGCTGCATACTTCTGGGCCCTGGAATCTATCACTCGTAGGCCAAGATTTGGTAGTCAGCTCAGCTCAGCTCAAAAGCGGCTCTAGCTGAGTGCCTATAGCCGCTGCTCCACTGCTCCACTGCTCCTTAAACGCGGCCATTCTTTATAGTTTTTATCTTCCTTTTGCTGATTTGAAGTGCGCTTTCCGGCATTCTTTGCTCCATTCTTTTTCCGTGTGGTGTCACACATGTGCCGGGGCACACCTCCCCTTTGCTGTTATTATTTTGGCTGCCATTTATTTGCTGTCAATGTTTGGGCCTCCTCCAATCCTTCCATCCGAGCCAAGCCATGCCATGCCATCGCCTGCCACTCCCACCTGACTGCCGACTGCCGCCTGCCGCCTGCCTGGGGCCACGTTAGCTGTCCGCTGTCCGCTGGCCGATGTCCTTTGTCCGTTCCCGTTCTCTTTCTTCTTTTTTTTTTTTTTGTCTTTTTGCTATCATTTTCATTTTAAAATGTCCTGAGCGTAGACGCCCCCTAGGAAGGGTCCAGCCGGCTATGTGTTCGGTTCTTCTACATTTCCCTTGTTATTCTAGTCCTTTTTGCCTTCCACCCCAAGACGTTTTCGGTGCCTGGTCCTAGTCCAAGTTCTGTCCTGGCCTGGCCTGTCCTGGCCGGGGCCACTTTATAAATGTTTCTGCAATGGATTTTTGCAAAGTAAACTTTTTCCGTCTTTTGTAGTTTTGTAGTCCCCCCATCCTCGCATCCTCCCTGGCAGCCATCCCATCCACTTGGCCCCGCATCTGATTGCGAGAGTGTGTGACATTTGTGGGGGCGGGGCGTGTGGGCATACACGAGAAGTAAATATATTAAAATGCAAACCCAACTCATATTACTCGATGGCAGTGGCAGTGGCAGTGGAGTGGGGAGTGGCGAGGGGTGGAGTGGGGTGAGCTCTCCAGTCCTTGCGCACACATGTGCGCAATTTCCAAGTCCGTTTTCGCCCATTGCCAAATGTCTTGCCGGCCGCCTTCCAAATAAATCGAATGCACAAAAAAGCAATAAAACGAAATAAAATCTAAATATGTATGTCCATCCATGTTCGTGTTCGTGTCTTCGTGTGTCTATGTGTCGCCCTTTTTTTTTTTTTGCCTCTATGGCTCCGATATGTGTGGGTACCGAAGAAACGAAGAAGAAGGAACGAAGAAAAAAAAACTTATCATTTTTATCATTGCGCAAAAGTTTATCCTTTTTGGCTCGGGCCGTTAATATTTTCGATTCGGATTTCCAAATGGCCAACAGAGTCCTGTGCCGTTACCGCTGTTCGGAATTTCAAATGACTTGTCCTCCAGTGGCAGAGGCAGAGGCAGTGGCAGAGGCGTGCCTGACCGAAGCGAAGCTTATTGAATGTTTATGCTTTATTAAATTTGATTTCTCTGAGCCCAGTGCCCAGCTCTGGGTCTGGGTCTGGGTCTGGATCTCTCTCTGTCTGTCTGTCTCTGTTCGAGCAGCTGTCTGACTAAACTGACCAAGTGCCGGCCAACATTTGTTGCAATGATCTATGTGCGTTGAATATTAAACGATAGCCCGGGCTTAGCAAGTGTCCTGCTCCTGGCTGATGGCAGCAAGCATAGGATACAGACTCGGAGAGTCTCAGGCTATTATCTTTTTAATGCGCGATAAATGCGACATTTGCGATGCTGGACAAAGTGCGTGTCATGTGCTTAAACAACAAAAGCAAACACTCACAGCTCTGCGGAAAGGGCAAAGAAAGGAAAGAAAAAAGATCCCAAGAACCGAATCATATTTGTAACGCTTTCCGCGCCAAAACCTTAGCCCCAACCACCCCCCAATCGAATGGTAATCATAATCACAATAACAGTAACAGGCTATAGCCATTGCCTCGGCCATTGCCATAGTTATGTCGATGGCAATAGTATTCCGGTAATAGTAATAATCATTTTTTGTTGTCCGTTATGTAGAGCATTTGCACATACGTGAATGGGTTGCGGGGTTGTGGGTTGGTGGGTGGTGCTGGGACATTATGTACACGTTTCCCCCACAGCTGAATGTGTTTATAATCACACACTCCAAATGTTCCGGCCAGCAGTTGCTGTCCAGCCTAATGCGACACGTGCTTCGCGCATATTTCTTGGCCAGCAACGGACAGGGGATATCGATAGCAATAGGTATAAGGAATAGGAACAGGAATATAGCCAGCCTTTGGACCAGCGACAGTTGGTTATGGGTCTAATGATTGCCTCCCGGACTGGTGGAGGCTCGTTAGGATCGAGTGCCTGCTAAATTAGGTGTAGATGTATTTGGTATGTTATTACCGTGCTTATCGATAAACGGGCTCATCCGATTGGTCATTTGTGTGTTTCACTGCGTTCACTACTTATCTGGCAAACTATAACTACAACGACTTAAGTAGATAATTATCAAAGTTGTGTACATGAATGGGAATGCAAAATAAATGGATTATAACATATTTTCCAATAAACCGATAACTATCGATAGGTCATTATCTTAGATTTAACATATGTGTATTTTTATTGTAATTTGGATTATGGGCATTTTGCATGTATTTTCATTGTATTTTTGTTGCTGCCAATTGGTTTGTCGTTTATCGGTTTATCGATTATTCTATAGTAAGTTTACAAGTGTTTTAATTTTCTATATATATATATGCAAATTATACGCAAAAAAATTTGTTATATTACTCTCATCGTTCAATCGATAAATCTTATAAAAAGTCGATTAATCGATCAAATTTAGGATTTAAGATATATATAACGCCAGTTGGGATTTTGCCAATTATTTTTTTACAATTTGTATTTCACTAATGTCGGATTGATTTGTGTGCCAATTTTGTTCTTTTAAAATTTCGTTCGATTAGCGGCTTATCGGTTTATCGATACTCTGATAGTTAGTTACTATGCAACAAATGTCTAGCAAAATGCAAATCATATGCGAATGTCGCTCCGATCGTTCGATAAATCATACACAAGAGGCAAGTATTCGATAATATTCGATAGAATAAAGTGTAAACGAATGGGCAAGCTCGTAATCGTAATCGTAAATCGTAATCGTTCAAGTACAGTACTCACCGAAATCACTGCCCATTCCAGAGGGTCCTGGCAACAGGCCGGGTATGCCCTGCAGGCCGAGGAATGCATTGGGGAACGAGTGCGAGCGCTGATTGTCGATGCCATCGAGGGTGCCATCATGCTGGCCATCGCCCCGGTCCGAGGGCTCCGTATCGCTGCTGTTCGAGTCCTCGCCGGCACTCTGCCCGAGATCGTGTTTCTGCTGGAACACCAGACACACCAGACATCGTGCGGAGTGATCAGACCAGCTCTGATTTGAGTTGTGAGTTGTGATTGGACCTACCTGATTCGCCGCCTGCTGTCCGTTGCTGTTCTCCAGCGCCTGTCCCAGCAGCGACTCGCGCAGCTCCAGGTTACGCTCCCGATCCTTCGAGGTGTCGCGTCCACTGCGATTGCGCGTCAGCGGATGCTGTCCGGCCACGGGAAATTCACGATCGAGCAGCAGCCGCTCGGGGCTGATGCCATGCTGTGCCCGGAAGAGATCGGCGCTCTTGATGCGCTTCTGTGGCGGCGGCGTGAGGTGGCTCTTGCGGCTGCCCTCAAGTTCGCCCATATCCCAGTGGTTGCTGCTGCTCGCCTGCAAAGGTGTCAATCGGGTTAAGCGCTGGTTAGTGGGGGTCTGGAGCCGGGCAAACAGGTCGGATGCAAACGTTACTTTGCTGGGATTGGGATTGGTTGTTCTTACGGGCGACGCTGCCGATGCCTTCAGCTCCTGGATGGCGGGCGTGCCACTGCCACTGCCTGTGCTCTGTTCTCGGTCCCTGTTGCTGCTGCTGCTGCTCGCGTTGGCTGTGGCAGCTGCTGCTGCTGCCACGGCGGCGGTCAGGGAGGCTGCCGCTGCCGCTGCTGCGGCCGCTGCGGCACTCGAGGCAGGCACTGAGGCTGGAGCCTGGGGCGTGCTGAATGGCGAACCGTGACTGCTGTTGAGCACTCCGCTGTTGCTGCCACTGCCGCTGCCGCTGCTGATGTTGCTGCTGTTCAGCATCGTCTGCGTCTGGGGCAGATAGCTGCTGATCTTGTTGTGGTTGCTGTGGCTGCTGCTGTGGCTGTTGATGCTGCTCTCCAGAAGGTTGTTGTTGTGGCTGCTGCTGATGTTGTTGTTGTGGCTGCCAGTGCTGTTGTGGCTGCTGCTGCTGTTGCTGCTGTGCGAGAGGGCGGCGGAGAGGGCCTTGGCATAGGGATAGCCCCCGTTGACATCCGCCAGACCTCTAATCTGCAGCAGATGCGCCGTCTTCAGGAAGTCGGGCAACTGTTCGTGACTGACATTCACCTCGCCGTTGTACATAAAGCTGGGTGGGGATATACGCTATAGGATATGCACAGAACTAACATTAGGAGACGCTCACCTCAATAGATTCTCGACATCGTCGCTGCGCACATCGCGCAGTATGACAATTGGATGCTCGCAGGGATTGGCCTTGAGCAGCTTGCGGAAGTAGGGGCTGCAGGCGCTGAGCACCACCTTGTGGGCGGTGAAGGAGCGCTCGTCGCAGGCCAGGGTCACGTCCACGAAGTCCTCCTCGTCGCGCAGGTGCCGGAACGAGCTGAGTATCGAGGTCTGAAAGTCGTTCCATTTGAGGGCGTAGTGCTGCTGTTGCTGCTGCTGCTGCTGCTGATGATGGCTCTGATGCTGTGCCAGACCCAGGGCGGATGGGGGCGGTGTGGCTGGGGAGAGGGCGGAGCCGGTGGCCGCCATGGAGAGTGCGGATAGCGCGTGGCCGGAGGATGAGGAGGTCGCCGGTGGCGGTGGCTCCATTTTCACCACGCCCGCGTTGTTGTTCTCCGCCGTCTGCAGCTGTGTGGATTCGGTCATTTAAGTGGACCGGCTCTCAACCTGCTCCCGGGTTCTATGCGTGCCTCTAGCCTTGGTTGGGGTTTGCAGGGTGGCGGGGGATGGCTCTTAATGGACTCGCGAATGCGTCTTCTTTTGTGGCTAATTCCTGCTCCGGCTACGATTGAATTCCTTGGCTATTGTTGTGGTGGCCCTTTTGTCGAGACTGGCAAATATTTACTTTGCCAAAAAGAGTCTCTTCGCCGTAGATGTCTTCTACTCTCCCTTCCTTTCCCACTCCTTCCTTTCCTTCTGCTAATTTGGCGAAAGTTGCGGCAATCTGAGGCGGCCCTTGTCCATTTTCACCGGACTCTGCTTGCCACCGCCGCGGCCATGGACGGAGCTAATAATGCTGGAGATGGAGCTGAAGCTGGGGCGCTGGAAAAAAAAACAAAATATAAGTTTACTGTGGCACACAATTGCTGTGGCAGGTGGCAGGCAGCAGCAGTAGTAGTTGTGGCAGAGCCAATCATTAAATATTATTACCAATTATTCATACATAAGCAGCGGGACAGGGGAACTGCGCTGCGGTGTCTAATGGAATCATTAATTACACGAACCGAACCGAACTGATGCCACCATCGGAGCCCAGTCGGAGCACCGCCACTTGTCGGGGCATTAGACGCAAATCAATTTAATTTAAGCGTTTACAAGCCACCAACACAATGAACCAGAAGTCGCTACACTCCACACACTCGCACGAAAGCATACCCAAAGCAATTGTACAAGATCATTAGAAGAGGTTCGAGGGTTTCGAGGGGGGCCGAGCCCCGACAATCCATCCATCCATCTTCGGTGCTGGCTTCTGCGGAACCCCAAACCTCCTGATCGATGTACCACCATCAAAATATTTATAAACGCATTCATCTCCCTCCACCACTCTGGTTGATCTTGGATTACGATCGTGTATGACGAGTACGATTACCGCGATCTGTGCAATCGTATCTGCTAGAGGCGGAACTTCCTTCAAATAACAAAAAAAAACAAACTCTTTGCTTTGCCTGCAATTGGCGCCTGCATTTGCAGCTCGGATAATTTTTCATGCCTCTCCCTGGAATTCCCCACAAAGATCTCCACTCCACTCCACGCTCTGACTCAGTGCCTCGCTGCTTGATTAATGATTTGGCGTTTTAAACCCTGATTATGACCATCACTTGCTGGGCCGTGACTAAGGCCATACTGAAAGAGGCTGGACGGCAGTGCAGTCAGCCTATTTGCAGCAATTGCTGGCAAGAACTCATTACCAAGATGAATGAATGATGAACGTAAAGGGTGAGTGAGTGAGTTGGTTGGCTGCTTGTTGCAGGGGATTACATTGATCTGATTCACTGGCAACAAATGAACGGGGCAAGCTGGGGCTTACATATCAGCTATCAACATTTTGTTGTAGCCATTGATGTGAGCACTTTGGAAGTGTAATTCAGCTTGAGACTTGGGCTGAAGCTATACAAGTTTATAACTAAGGCTCAGATGAAACGTTTAAGAGAAGGGAAACTTGAAATATATTTTTACATTAACGTTTTCGAATATGCAACAGTCGCAATCCTCCAAGAAAGTAATAAAGTTAACTAGATTTCTTTGTGGGCTTTGATCAGTAGAATGACTCGTCAGCGCATTTCGATTTAAATGTGTACTTAGAGATAGTTTCGAAGGACACTTTACTCATAAAATATCAACGCATATTTGACAGTTAAATATAAAAAATATTCAATGATATTCAGAGCTCCCTTGGAGTAGAATTTCAATTTGTCCGAAGCATTTCAGCACCCATTCTCGATTAGGTACATTGCTCCACACATGATAGACTTACATATGTATAAGCCACAAGATACTGTACCCAAAAATTGCTGATATAAGGATAGTCTCCCAAACACCCTTTGGCAAAGAAGAAGTTCCCCAAAAAGGGTATTTTATTTCTTGTTTTATAGTTTTTTTTACGGTTTCTACATCACCACGAATTTAGTTAGTTGCCTCATGGGGTTGTTGTTATGTTCTGCTATGCCATACGGAAAGGGAGAGCTACCTCTGCCTCTGCCTCTGAGGAGTACGTTTCGCCCTGCGTTGCACAGTGCTCGTTGCCCGTTGCCCGTTGCTCGTTGCTGCGTGTGTTTCGCTTTGCGCTAATTTATGAAGTAACCCAAAACAATTTCATCATAACACATTTGCTGGCAATTATTTCGTTTATTGAACAAACATTCGCATCGCATAAATTCGAAGGGGGTTGGGGTTCGAGGGGGGAGGTAACTGCCACAACTGCCGTACAATAACTAACGGAAGCCAAGACCCAACGAAAATAAAACAACAGCGCAGGCAGATACTCGTACGTTCCGGCTTGGTAACCGACAAAAATATATGTAAATGGGGTTACCAAAAAAAAAAAACACACACACACACAGTCCACACTTTTCACATGTAATCAGAGGCAGGAAGGATATAGATGGATGGATGGATGGGGATGGCGATGGCGATGGCGGTGTGGGATGTGTGCCAGATACTTGCAACGTGCGAATGCAATTGCATTTTTCCCTGCCACACTTCAAAATGTGCAACTCAAAGTGGCAGCAGCAACTGCCTAAAAACTGAACATTTTAGCAAAAATAAAAATTTATTTGCAACTAACAAAAAAAAAAAAAAAAAAACAGACACCCAAAACGCGCTGGAAGGGAATAAACTAACCATGGAGGGGACGGTGTACGCTGAGGGGTGGGCTTTAGCCTGTACTTGTTTAGTCGGTTGTGTGGGGGGGAGGACTTGGAGTTCCGCGTAACATAATAACAAATAAATGTAAATGATAATGGTAAATAAAAAGCGAAAAACGAATTACTAAACAACACACAATCATCTGCAAACACACACACACACACAGATAGCTGGGCCATAGACATGTGCAGATATAGTATAGATATACTCGTGTGTATGTACCATATAACGAGCCATATATATGACTGTGCAAACACGCATATTCGGCTAGGGCTGGGGGTCACGTCTAGCACTGCGGATATAGCGGCAACAACTGCCGCTGGGCCAGGGGCACGGCACAATCAAATTGGTACTAACTATTTGTAGTACACGCCGTGAGCTCCGGCCTGGAAGAAGGGTGTATCAACACTACAGTAGTTATAGGATATATATATATACCTATATATATATGTATATATATTTAATGTTTATTTGGTACAGGTTCAGGAAATGAACATCCTAGATTGGAGAGATTTTAAGAGAAACTTGAGCACTCTCCCTGGCATTTAATGGATGAAGAAAAAGATTTCTTAGAGTTATTTATATGTGTGCCTGGTCTGTTCTATTCTGTTCCTATTTTCTTCCATTTCTTGTATTTTCTTTTATTGTTTTTATTCCCAAATTTCAGCTCAAAATCCAACCAAAGAGTATCTTAAGGTCGCCACACGCCACACTCTGGTTCAATAGTTACTTGTTATTTTTGGTAAATTGATACGGCGTCTTGGTGAGTGAACCAGAAGTATCTTGGTAAATATTTTACACTGCCCCCCCGCCCCGCTTTCTGCGCCGTCATGTGTACTCTTCTATGCCAAGTAGAGGATGGGTTGGAGGGGGGCGGGGGACACACGAGAAAGGAAAGGCCCCGCCCGTTATGATATGATGATTGTTATTTTTACGATTTGCATTTGGAGTTGTCAAAAGGGAGAGCCAAAAGCCGAGGTACAAGTATTGTAGTTATCTTAAGAATATTCGTCCCGCCTTTGCTTGGCTCCAACATTATTTTTACAGTTATGTTTATATCGTTTATGACTCCATATTGTAACGCCCCACTCAGTAATGGGTGGGGTGGTGGGCAGTGATGGGTAAACCATAAACAAGATACACGCATAAATATAATAGCAGGAAATTGGCTCGAAAGTGCGGAAGAATGGTTATTGGGGAAGGGTATCGGCTCGGGTAGTGTAGTGTAGATGTCCCACCGTAAATGTGAGCAATTATCTGGCAGATAATTTCCAATTTGTTTCCCATTCTGTGGATAATTTGTTATGCTGCTGATTAGTTTTGGACATACACCAAAATCTCGATTAAATGTTGGTCATTGTCGCCGCGCGCACAAAATGTCAAATCGAATTATATAGATTGTCAACAATGGAATTTTAGCAGGGGCCTAATGCCAAAAAGGGTTTGTGTATCACACTCTCTTTCTGTCTCTCTCTCTCTCTTTTTCCTATTCCTATATCCATCTCTTGGGATGCGTGGAGTGGAGCGGCTAGGGGCCGTTCAGGTCGCTCCTCAATGCAAGCAAATTAGTTAAAAACCAATTAAAATCGCTCATCCGCCGTGTTTTACGGTATGCGGGGGAGGTCACTGTAAATACACACATATATACTCGTACATCGGATAATTATATGTACTCGTATCGGTATTTATATCTTTTGTATATATCCAAATACACATACATCTACTACACTGCCATGTTTAGAGCGGAATATTCTAAAAATCCAAATTAGAATGTCAATAAAATGCCTTTTTTTTAATGAAATAATTAATTAGATTTTGCACATCAACAGTCTAACACGCATTTGCCGGCCAAACGCAAAACCAACACACAGCATACACACAGCTGCCGATGCAGATACAGATCTATGTATTTATGTTCTTATGTATATATGTATGTACATCTATTCGTATACCTTCTGGCTGGAGCTGTGCGTGAATCGTGAGTGCGGAGCGTGAGTGTGACAATGTGCCAACGGCAGTGCTTTGGTGTGTGCAAGAATGTCCGTCGAAGGTGTGGAAAATATACAAAAAAGGTTGGCTATAATTTTATTAGGGGAACAATTTAATATTGGCTGATGTTAGTTTTAATTGGAGTGCAAGCAAGACATTTTTGATTGCTTCAACGGATTTTATTTTTGTATATTTTGGAAAATCTGATGGAATAAAATCGGGGCTCTAAACTCTATGGGAACACGTCTATAAATGACTTTCAGACTGAGTACTTTGAATAATCAAATTTAATATATCTAAATATTTTTCAAAGCTGAAGTACGAATAAAGTGAAATATAAACATTATTTAATGAGATATTTCCCATTTATTTACCATATAAACCTGCTCTAAAGGCCAAAGAGCCAAATAAAAAAAAAAAAAATAACCATATATATATTATAAATATACAAGTTAAAATTAGCTTCATATAATATAAATTAATTGCATTAAATTATCACGCACTCATCTCTAGCAGTGGACACACGCACTCACAGCCATGTACAAAGACTCGTACATACATATGTGCAGCCGTCATAGTTGAATTTAGTTGTCGGACACCATTTTGTTTAGGATTTGCCTTAGCCCCACCTCACCTTACCACACTTGCCCCTCCCCCAACCCAACCACTCGGCCCGCTTAGTGGCTCTT